TTGGTCACCTCATGCAAAGAGTTGACTCATTGTAAAAGACCCTGATTCTGGGAAAGATTGAGAACAGGAGGAGAAGGGGATGACAGAGGATAAGATGGTTGGATGGCATCACTGACTCCGTGGACATGAGTTTGAGTAAACTCCGGGAGTTGGTGATGGACAGGGAGGCCTGGTGTGCTGCGATTCATGGGGTCACAAAGAGTCGGACACAACTGAGCGACTGAACTGAACTGAACTGAACTAATGAGGACTTACTGTATAGCACCGGGAACTCCACTCATACTGTGGTGACCCAGATGGGCAGGAAGTTCAAAGGGAAAGGGATATGTGTACATATGTATGACTGACTTGGGTTTCCCAAGTGGTGCTAGTGGTAAAGTAGCTGCCTGGACGCAGGAGATGTAAGAGACCTGGGTTCAATCCCTGAGTTGGGAAGATGCCCTGGAGGAGGGCATGACAATCCACTCCAGCATTCTTGCCTGGAGAATCCCATGGGCCGAGGAGCCTGGAGGGCTATAATCCATAAGGTTGCAAAGCCCTGGACATGACTGAAGTGACTTGGCACGCACATGGCTGATTCACTCTGCTGTCGTAGAAACTCATACAACCTTATAAAGCAACTATATGCCAATAAAAATTAATTAAAGGATAAGATGTTAATGGCATCTGTCAGGTGATCCTTCCAAGTAAAGAAGATGCCCACCCTTAGGTCTGCAGGAAGTAGAGGGTTTTAGCCTTTTTTATTTAACCACATAGATGTGAAGCTGCCAATCAGGATTGCAAAAATGTAGAAAATGCAAATGCAATGGATCATTTTCATCCCTAACGCCTTTGATTCTACCCGTCCACAGAAAAATCCAAGAGACTGAAAACTAGATGAATCACTCTTTCCTCTACAATCAAAGCATTTGGGCGGTGGTGGGAGTTAAGTATCTTTCTTTAAGTACATTTTAAAGAAAGGAGAGTAGGAGTGAGGGTAATTTCTCACTGAGGGTGAAGCCACCTTTGGAGCTGCAGCTGTCAATAGAATCTGTTTTAAAATGTACTTGCAGACTTTCGACTGAGCATGCCACGCCCAGACATTTAGATGGTTTAGTGGTACCAGGGGAGATGTGATTATCAGTGGGTGATGGAAAACACTCTGAAAAATATCGGTTCTTCTCTTTGATATGCATTTTGTACAGTATCTAACTAGGGTGGACATTTTATAATTCTCATGCCCTCATCCTTTAATAATGTTGTATATTTGCAGGGCTTCCTGACAGACTTTTATGATGTATTCAGAGTATTTTGCAGAGGATGAAGTTTTGATTTGTTCTAGTAAAGAAAAAGTTTGCATTAAAGATAAATTACATAGTGGGAGGAATAAGCAAATAGAGGCAAAGGCAGAATTTTGTGGATGTCTGTCAAGTTGGACTTAATGGTGCTAATCCAAAAGTAACCTGGGGATTTAAGTGGCAGCTAACAGTGAACATGTAGTTGCATGTGTATCACTGTCCAGGAGCCCTGGTCTGTGTTGGCATCGCCTGAAAACCACACTGTGGGATCAGCCCCACCAGGGACACTGCTACTGAGAATAAAGGGGAATCCAGAAGATGGGGAACCACGTGATGTCTCATGAATCTTCCCTTTGGAGACATGTCAATTTCCATCACTCATTTGCTGAAGTCAGTTGTGTGACCAAGCCTGAAGTCAGTGATGTTGAAAGGTCTAGTCTTAAGTCAAGGGATCCTGTAAGAAGAGCAGCAGGTGTTTGAACATGTAACATTACACTGGTCAGAGCACAGCTGCTGGAGCCTCACAGACTCAAATTTAAATCGCAGGTCAGCAACTTGTTGTGCCAGAGTACATGGAACTCCCTGGGTCTCAGTCTTTATTCTGTTTATGGCACTTATTTCACAGAGTCATTATAATATTTAAATAAGATAATGCACATAAAATACATAACACAAATGTTTAACACTTGTAAGCAGACAGAGTTAGCTATTAACATAGTCAAGTTCTGTTCAGTGGTTTTTTAATGTTTTTTATTTCTTTGCTATGATAGTGCTAAGTTGCTTCAGTTGTGTCCGACTCTGAGACCCCATGGACTGTAGCCTGCCAGGCTTCTCTGTTCATGGACTTCTCCGGGCAAAAATAGTAGAGTAGGTAGCCATTCTTTCTCCAGGGGATCTTCCTGACCCAGGGGTTGAAGACCCTGGGTCTCCTGCATTGCAGGTGAATTCTTTACCTTCTAAGCCACCTGGGAAGCCCTTTATTTCTTTAATACTATAATAAAGTCTTTAATATATATGAAAAACAATTGTTCTGAATATTCCCAAGTTGCTAATAGAAACTAGTAGAAGACATTCATTTCAAATCCTCAATAGCAAGTCAGATAACACTTTGCTCTTTGTATTTTAGCAGGGACAGAGGAAGCAATCTAGAAAGGTATACTATGCAGTGTATTTTAAAAACAAAATCCAGAGGCAAATTTTAATTAATTAATTATAATATATTCTAATTTTAAAGCAGCTGTGGCCACACAAATTTATTTTACACTTCTATAAGAATTTTTTTTATTAAGGCTTTTCTTTTTATTCATCTGTTCCCACCAATCCGAGATAAATTTTTAAATCTGGATTTTGTTTCCAAATCAAATTTGGCCCTATAGCAGCATATTAATAGCTCTAACTTTTAATAGAACAATATTGAAAAAAATAATTTCAAAAAAGAGAATATGATGAAAGGACATAGAGGGCACCTGGATGTTTTATTCAAACTCACAGAATTAGTTCTAGAAACGAATTTTGGCAAATTGTAAAATTTCAATTATCAACATTCATAAAGCTTCTGAATTTAACTAATTTAAACAACTGAAAAGTCTTTGTCTGAAATATTAAAGGTTATAGTAGTAATAAAGGCAACAGAAAATGGAGTATCTTTAAAATCCAAAGAACATTATTTTCACATTTAAAATTCATAAGCAAATTTTCATAAAAACTGGCATTTCTTTCTGCTGACATCTGAGTTAGAATTTGGTCTCATGTCAAAGTCATTGGCTAAATGTTTAATGGGGAAAAATTTATAGACTGAAATAAGGCATATACAATACTAATGAGGGCTTCCCTAGTAGCTCAGATGGTAAAGAATCCACCTGCAATGCGGGAGACCTGGGTACAATCCCTGGATTGGGAAGATCTCCTGGAGGAGGGCCTGGCTAACCACCCCTATATTCTTGCCTGAAAAATTCCGTGGATAGAGGAGCCTGGCAGGCTAAAGTCAATTGGGTCACAAAGAGTCGGACATGCCTGAGAGACTAAGTATAAATACCAATGAATAAAATAATCTTTCTTAAAAGAAATTTTTGATGGCCTTTGAACTCTTCATAAACAAAATAGCAATAAAACAGAAAATAAAGTTTTAGTTTACCTAGGGAAAAGCAGAAACCAAAACTGAGCTAATTAGTATACTAAAACACTAAGGATACAGTTAACTCAGATCAAAAGCATTCAGTTGCTCAAGTTTGAGAAACTTAATTTCAAATTCACAACTTTTGGTATTTAGGGTGTTATGAAGTCAGCTCTTCGGCTCTGCAGCGTCCCTCTTCCTATGGCAACATCTGTCTCCAGTCCTTTTTGGTACCTCAGTTTGAATGTGATCACCTTCCAGAATTCACTTCTGAAGGATATTCCTGCATCGGCAAAGTTGTGTGATGCAGACGCCTATGCAAGTTATTCCACAGACTAGGTTTTCCTCCCCCCCAACCCCCGCCCAATGCCCTGGACTCCCCTCTCTTTATCTCTTTCCTGGCTTCATCCCTGTTCTGTTTTCCTCTCTTATTCTTATCAGCATATCTCTTTTCTATTTATCTTTTGGTATGAGAAATGAAGTGAAGTCAGAGAGACCCTTTGGCAGAGGAATAATGAGATGAAGGAGTTAAGAGAATTACCTGTAATATCACAGGAACACGTAGGAAGAAAGCACAGAAGCCATCTCATCACAAAACACAGTGTGTAATTGGCCAACATCATCCATTCATTGCTTTCTTCAGCTTTCCTATACTGCATGGTGGTGGGCAGTTTATAACATTTACTTTTTAGTTTACTTTCTCCCCCCAAAGTAAAAATAAATAAAATCACTAAAGAGCAGTCAAACGTCCATGTGTCTGACTTATTGACTATCCAGATCTATGCTAGGATCTGGCCACACAAATGTGAATAAAGTGAAGTTGCTCAGTCATGGCCAACTCTTTGCAACCCCATGGACTGTAACCTACCAGGCTCCTCCGTCCATGGGATTTTCCAGGCAAGAATACTGGAGTGGGTTGCCATTTCTTTCTCCAGGAGATCTTCCCAACCCAGGGATTGAACTAGGGTCTCCTGCATTATAGGCAGACGCTTTAGCATCTGAGCAACCAGGGAAGTCCCAAATGTGAATAAAGAATGACTAATAAGAGCCCTCTTTTTACTGCAAGAAAGACAAACAGGAACACAGCTACCATAATGAACGTACAAACCATTATAAGGGAGTCATGAAAAAGATCATGGGAACATAGAACATAGAAGGGGAATGAGTCATTCATTTCCAGAATATTTATGTGGCTTTTTGTAGCAGTGGATGCAAGGCTTATCGCTCCCTTATTTGGATGGTCTGGTTTTATAAGTCATTCATTTGTTGTAAGAATAATTTTTGATTTGGAAATAGAATGATTTTTCTCCTCATAGATCCTATATTTTAGTGGAAGTATAGTCAATAAATCAGAGAAATAATTAGATATATATCATACTACTTGGTGCTGAGTGCTACAGAGAAAATTAAAACAAGGAAAGTAGCTAAGAAATGCATACGTGTGCCATGGGGGATCGCATTCCAGAAAGAATAAAGAGCAAGCCTGCCCTAGACCAGGAACACCAAGGCCGGGTGCCTGAAGCAGAGATGCTGATGACTGAGAACCGGAGGGAATGAGGTCACAGAGCTCATTCTGTTACCAGACTGGAGAGAGCTGTGGTGACTATAGTGAAGAATTTAGCTCTCCCTTTGAGGAAGATGGAAATTCCTGAGAGATTTTGAACATAGGTTAACATCTGACTACTATCAACAGGATCACTTCAGTTTGCTCTGTGGAGGATAGCCTGAAGGGGGGCCAGGGAGGGAATAAGTAGAGAGTCAGAGGTCATGGCAAGAATCCTGATGGGAGATGGTGGTGTTACCAGAGGGGAGGTTGCTGTATCATCCTAGAAAGATGGCAGAGATGACTCATGGAAGCCAAGGAAGCAAAGTATGGATCTATTAAGTGATGATGCGCTCCTAAGAAGGGGAGAGGGCAGACTCAGATGGGCAGCTGCCCCGAGTGCCCTTGGGGGCTTATTACAGGGGGTGTGAAAATGGTTGGGCAGGGCAGAATATGCATGGACTAGGGAGGGGTTTGCCATCACATTTCCTGATTTTCATTCCAGCTCCACCTTAGTGAGGTGTGGAGGGAGTTTTGTTCTTTGGTTTTGAGGGAAGTGTCATGGCATTGAGGCTTGATGGATATTTCATATATATATATATATATANTTAACTCTTTTTACTTTTAACTTTTTTACTCCTAACTCTCCATGTTTGTAATTAAGTTTGCTTTTCTGCCCCCTAACTCTGCAGGAGCTGTATGTCACACTTATTTTTCCTTGACTCTATTTTACCCTTGCAACATCCTTTCCTTTGTAGTTACATATCAGAAGAAGGCCACAGAGCCACCAAATTGCCAGACTCAATTACTGGGTTACTGATGCCAGCCTTTGACTGTCTTCGAAATAATGCGAGAGGCAGAAATCAAGTTTCTAACACCTTTGGGCCTCATCACCGACTCCTCACTGCGAGTTCATCTTATATAACTCCTTAGGCTCCTCATGGAGTGGGGGACACAGTTCCTGAGGCATAAGCCTACTGTGTTCCCCCCTCTGCTGGCTGAGGACTAAAGCCACCCTTCTATTTCCTCAAAACTCTGTGTCTGCATTTTTTTATTCAGCTTCAGTGGGCAGAGAAAGCCAAGATTTTGGCCAGCAACCATACTGCACCAAAGAGGAAAAGGGGAAGGCCAGAACATATGATTTTTGGTGAAGGGGAAATACATGCACTCAAGCATTTACTTTTCCAGAAGGTTTCTATGAGTCTCCTGAAGCCTTTGCTGGTCACAAGGAATAGTCATCATCATAAAGGGTTCCAGTGCTTTGCTAGATGAGGAGAGTTACAAGAAATGGGCTCATAAAATCAGCTCCTGAGAATATCTGGCTATCTGAAGGCTTGTCCTGCCAGTTTTTTCCCAAGCACAGAATACCTCATTTCTGATCTGCACCCTGAACTCTTTTCAGGGGGTATTGAAGGTCAGTCAGCAGCTACAGCCGCACATGATTTAATTCTTGTAGAGGTAGATGGCAAGTGCCGATGGCTAGTGCCAATTTGTAGTTGACTCAGCCTTTTTTTCTCTGCCCCAAGAACCCACTGTTGCCTCAAGATGTGTGGTTTCCTGTCTCCCGATCCATGCCTCCTTTCTTGACTCAGACCTAGCTATTTGCCTGCTCTAACAAAGTTGGCTTGGATCATGGTGGAAACTGTGCAAGCTGTGAGCAAATCTTGCATTCTGAATATACTCTAAGGCTATTAATATTCAATCAAATTAATATTTTGATGATACACTTCTCTGGCACATAAATGTAATGATAGTTGATCTAACGAAGTCAGTCCACACTGTCAATTTCAGCACTTAGAAACTGTTGACTAGAAAACATAGTCACAACCTGAAAGTAGAGAGTTGCTTTTTTCAGTGGGAATTCTTAGGACTTCAAGCCCGAGAGGCAGCATCTCAAGTAGCCCTGAAAAACTGTCCCAAGGAGTTGGGAGAAGCAGTCAGGTTATACAGAATCTTGCGACAAAGGGGGCAGATAGTCTGAGACATCAAATATTATTATTAATTAAGGAAACTAAGATATCTCAAAATGAGGAATTTAGTGCTCTTTTATGTATGCAAAGATGCAAGTGTCTGGGTTCACTGAAATCATTTCTTTTATATGCTTACATCCCTTGCCTGTGTGGAGGGGCTGTAGCCTGATAGCAGATATTCTTTGCCTTCTTGAATTCCCGTAGGGCTAACTGGCTCACAGAGGAAGGCTGTTATCACTGATGACTGTCAGTGAGCCTCAAGTTCCTTGCTTACCGTAGAGAGTGGCAGATGGCATTGTTCTTCCTGGGCTCAGAAATTCACATTTGGAGGGCTCAATAGCTGTGACACCCTTGTTTATTGATGTGGCAGGGGATATTCCATTTCACAGTATATAACTATTTTTAATGACCAAGCCAGACTGATATATCATGTAAATCAACGCCAAATTCCATATTTGATCTGTCCTATGTATTCACAGGAAAACTCTAATATTCTGACTTCAGAGAGCAGGCCTGAGTAGCCAGGAGTTTATCTAGTGAGAATCAAACCATCTATACTGAGAGAACAGATTGCTATATACTTTCTCAAACTTTTACTGTTTGCCTATATCTTCCTATAGCATACCTTCATTCACTACTGTCTTTATCAACGTAACTGCTCTTCCAGAAAAGAGTTGCCCAGGAATATAATTGCTGCACAGAAAGATAGCATCAAAGTATTCACCAAGATTCTCCATAAAACTCTCACCTTCAATTTTCATCTGGCTGTGTTGCTGGTCCTACACTGTTACATCAAGATCCTTGCCATTCTATTTAAAACACCCACATTCAAAGACCTACTTTAAATACAAAAGGCCTTTAAATACAAATAGCCAATGTTTTCACACCCTTCTGAGATGCTACTCATCTCTGAATACAGTATCCTCCCTTATTGTAGGAAGTAATTGTAAACACTTTTCCTTATTAACAAGTGATTTTGGTGATGTTTTCAGGGGACCAGCATTCAGCAATGTTTTACCTGTTAATAGTGGTATACTGTGCTTAGTCGCTCAGTCATGTCTGACTCTTTGCGACCCCATGAACTGTAACCCACCAGGCTCCTCTGCTCATGGGGATTCTCCAGGCAGGAACACTGGAGTGGGTCGCCATGCACTTCTCCAGGGGATCTTCCCAACCCAGGGATTGAATCCAGGTCTCCCACATTGCAGGTGGATTCTTTACTACTGGGCCACCAGGGAAGTCCTTGGTAATAGTGGAGGTGGTGCAAAGAAAATCTTTATAATTTTTTGACTTGCTGGCAGACTTTTACAATTAAAATCCATTGTACAAATATATATAAAAAAAAATGAGAACACCATTGAGATATTTGGGTCATGGGTGTCATATAATCTAATAGCTTTTCTATAGGATCCCTTTAGCTGCTCTTTGGTGGTAGCCTGAAGGATGGTGTGTGAAATTTGTGGCCTGATCAAAGACAAAAATAGGGCTGTCATGCACTAATATGGGGAAGAGTGAAGAGGGGCAAGTATGGATAAAGAGTAGAGGCTCCGTCTTAGACCTGTAACATATAAGACACAGACTTGACATGCAAGTGGAGAAACTGAGCAGGCAGTTGGAAATTGGGGTCTGAGCAGAGATATTGGGGTGGACCTAAGGTTTGATAGTTGAACATATGGCACTGCCGCTTCTTTTTCTTTTGCTTTTTCCCCTGGTATTTATATTTACTATTGTTGTTCGGTCACCGAGTCATGTCTGACTCTTCCTGACCCCCTGGACTGCAGCACACCAGGCTTTCCTGTCCTTCACGCTCTCTTGGAGTTTGCTCAAGTTCATGTCCATTGAATTGGTGATGCCATCCAACCATTTCACCTTCATTCTCTGTCACCCTCTTCTCCTTCTGCCTTCAATCTTTCCCAGCATCAGGGTCTTTTCCAACGAGTTAGCTGTTTGCATCAGGTGGCCAAAGTGTGTGTGTGTGTGTGTGTGTGTGTACATACACATATATATATGAGAAAAATTAAGAATAAGGATAAAATAATAAATAACATTTTAAATTATCACATTTATTTTTATTAGTCATACCCAAACTTCTTTGGTCTTACTGCTACTGCTAAGTCACTTCAGTCGTGTCCGACTCTGTGTGACCCCATCCCTGGGATTCTCCAGGCAAGAGCACTGGAGTAGGTTGCCATTTCCTTCTCCAATGGATAAAAATGGAATGCGAAAGTGAAGTCGCTCAGTCACGTCTGACTCTTTGCAACCCCGTGGACTGCAGCCTACCAGGCTCCTCTGTCCATGGGATTTTCCAGGCAAGAGTACTGGAGTGGGGTGCCATTGCCTTCTCCATTGGTCTTACTAAGTATTATTTAAATGGTTCAATATATTGATAAGTTTTACCCTTTGTTTTTAATGATATTTTGAAGTTGTGTTTCTAAGTTCAGTATATTTTAATATTGCATTTTAAAGCAATGGCTAACTTGACAGAATAAGATCTAGCTGTCAAAGTCCAAAATTGGCTTTATGTGTCAATTATAATATGCATTTTTCTATTCTAATTATGAAAGGTGTTTGGTTGATATTAGCCATAAATTTTCTATTCTAACTGATCTTGACAGATTGTTCTTGTGTACAAGGCAGTGCACTTTTATACTTTAAGCAAATGGCTCAAAATTCAATAAGGCTCTCCATTTGGAGAATTTGGAACTGATTGGGAGCTTCTATTTTCATGTTTTAATATAAAATATTAAAATGTATATAAATGACACACTTTTGCTATAAAATATCATATTGAAGGAAACTTTACCAAATACCCAAATTCAATGGAGTATCTTTCAAAATAAAGCTACTTTCTCATTTATCATTAAAATATCATTTTTATCTTAAGGACATAGCAAAGGTTGCATTTAAAAGAAAATCTGCTGGCTAGTACGCCACTGAAAAGTTGCTATCACCAAAAATTCAGTACATTTGGAACACTTATCCTTTTACCAAAAAAATGCTAATGTATCTTTAGGCTTGACAGCTCTTTTAAGTACCTTGTCTTGACACAAACTGTGGACTTCTGAACAGTACAAAAACAAATCAAGTCATTTCACCTCTCAGGTCATTGTCTTGTAAAAACTCCAGGATTTAAGCTATTCTTTCAACCAATTTAACAAGGTACATATAAACTATTATAATTTAAGTTTTGTTAAAATTAAGTTAGAAAGTGGTAATAGAACCATGAGCATCTCCACCTTATACAACTTTCAGTCTGCTCTCAGCATCCCTGAACTTTGCAAGTGAGCCTGTAGGCTAGTGAGGACACCAATATTATTCTATATCAAATATTAACATAGCCTGGTTGTTAAATCATTTAAAATTATTTTGGTAGAAAATAAACTTGCCAGTGTTTTTCCACACTAGTCATTTTATGCACCCTGTGGGGCTTGCAACATATTTTGGAGACCATTGCTTAAAATATATGGAAACAGGCTTGTTGGTATTTCATGAAAGATAAATGTTGAATGCTTAGTATATTAGTGATGGTCCCTTCGTTTTTCAGCTTAAGAAATCAGATTCAGCTATCATAAAATAATTTATTAGAGATAATATTTTAACAGCTCATAGAAATCATGGAAAAGTTTTCAAATAAACTTCAAGAATGGGGCCCAGAATGAGTGATTATGGACTTTCTTTTGTCACGATCCTATAAAAGTTACTTCACTACTCACAGGATCTTGCCCCAATAACTCTGTTCAGAAATCCATGTTCCTGAGAATAGAACTGGGATTGCCCAACTTGGATATTGTATGGATGTCTGGTCCAATCTTTTATGGATGGAAAAGAAAGTCAGATAGTAGAAAATAGTTTCATAAAAGATGTGGAGAGCAGATCTCAGAGACAAGGGGCTGGCTGGTGAAGCCAGATTACAACCTCTGTATCAAAGATTGGACATGGGAATGCATGGGACAGGTGTGAGAAAAAAAGAATATGGGCTGACCAAAGAACAGTGTTCCTGAAGCTCAACAATAGAAATAATCAAGACTAAACAAAGAAATACCATATGATCAAAAAATCCCAC